TCTGCTGTCCATGCAAATTTGTATAGACACCTACCAGATTACTTTTATTTTGTTTAGATTTTATGAAAAGAAACATTTATAATACATCTTGAGGGGTTTTAAGAGCAATTTACGAAATTAATTTATATTTAGCTTCTCTACGTTAAATCAACAAATTTGTTTATAATGCGTCTGAGCAATTATTGATGCATGAATGTTCGTGCAGTGTACCTAAATACCTACTACTTTCACGCAACCGTTGAAGCATTTAGTGCCACAAGCAATTTTTACTTTACATGAGTACTGTGCATATAATTCCATGTTGATACAACTTTCACCGTCTAATATTTTGAGTGCTAAAATGTATAACCAGTTATCTATGTAATTAGAAGACAACTTGGCAAGACGAGCAGGCGTAGCCTGCGGAGTCGCGCTAGTTAAAAAAAAATAGAAATGACACATCTGATGCAAGGTATTATGATAATTTGACTGAACTAAAAGTTCTGGATAGGTTTTTAAAACTCTCCAAGGTTAACCTCGAGGTGAGGGATTTCTTACTGCCCGCAATATGTGTACACATTTTGTTTTGGCACTGTACAGTGTCTAGCAGTGTCCGAGGCAGTGTCCCATATTTCCACACAGTGCCGCAGTGTGACGCCGTAAATTTATTTATGGGTAGGTATGAGCAATGTGCTGATTTTTGCGTAATCGACCGTTATTGACGTGTATTTTCTATTGCTGTCTGTCTGTCCGTGTCCACAATAACTTTGTGTAGAACCGTCCGATCGCTTTGAAAATTGATAGGTACACATGTTCTTCAGGATATAAGAAAGGTCACTATTGTTTTTTGGCTACGTAGACCAACGTCCGTCCGTCCGCTAACTTTGCGACGCTACTAGTTTTTTATCTTAAGAGCTATTGTTCTACTTTTTTCGCTATTTGGTTCGTTATGGTGTCGAGTCTTGTACCAAGGAAGGAATTTTTTCTGTACCGCTTACAAAAAAAGTTATTGTAAAAAAAACAAAAAACCGTTTTTTACATGTTCCATAATTTTACACTTTTGCCGTTTATTAACGATCCTAGAGATCGTTTATAATTTTGCATTGCTATCTGTCGCCTGCCGGTTGGTCTCTCCGTCTGTTCCTTTGTCTGTCTGTCCATCTATCTGTCCGTGTGAACGATAACTTTGTTTAGAAATGTTCGATCGCTTTTACATCTCCGTTAGTTATGAACTGAATTGCATGAAATTCAATATGGGCATAGCTTTAGCCATATAATACGCAATGCCAAAAGTTGAATCGAATCGATTCAAAATTCACAGTGCCCTTTTCGCATCTCGACCATTTATAAACCGAATTGCAAACTTTTTTACTTATAAAAGTATTTGAATGAAATTTGATACATAGGCACTTGGAATAAAGGGAAATCAAACGCCAATTTCAAAATTTGGTTTTGCGCATGCGCAGTGCCAACTTTTTTATTTATGGAAGAATTTAAACGAAATTTGATACAGAAGCACTTCGAATAAAGGAAAATCAAACGGCAATTTCAATATTTGGTTTTGCGCATGCGCAGTGCCAACTTTTTTATTTATGGAAGAATTTAAACGAAATTTGATACATAGGCACTTGGGATAAAGGAAAATCAACCGCCAATTTCAAAATTTGGTTTTGCGCATGCGCAGTGCCAACTTTTTTATTTATGGAAGAATTTAAACGAAATTTGATACATAGGCACTTGTAATAAAAGAAAATCAAACGCCAATTTCAAAATTTGGTTTTGCGCATGCGCAGTGCCAACTTTTTTATTTATGGAAGAATTTAAACGAAATTTGATACATAGGCACTTGGGATAAAGGAAAATCAAACGCAATTTCAAAATTTGGTTTTGCGCATGCGCAGTGCCAACTTTTTTATTTATGGAAGAATTTAAACGAAATTTGATACAGAAGCACTTGGAATAAAGAAAAATCAAACGCCAATTTCAAAATTTGGTTTTGCGCATGCGCAGTGCCAACTTTTTTATTTATGGAAGAATTTAAACGAAATTTGTTACATAGGCACTTGGGATAAAGGAAAATCAAACGCCAATTTCAAAATTTGGTTTTGCGCATGCGCAGTGCCAACTTTTTTATTTATGGAAGAATTTAAACGAAATTGGATACATAGGCACTTGGGATAAAGGAAAATCAAACGCCAATTTCAAAATTTGGTTTTGCGCATGCGCAGTGCCAACTTTTTTATTTATGGAAGAATTTAAACGAAATTTGATACAGAAGCACTTGGGATAAAGGAAAATCAAACGCCAATTTCAAAATTTGGTTTTGCGCATGCGCAGTGCCAACTTTTTTATTTTTGGAAGAATTTAAACGAAATTTGATACATAGGCACTTGGGATAAAGGAAAATCAAACGCCAATTTCAAAATTTGGTTTTGCGCATGCGCAGTGCCAAGTTTTTTATTTATGGAAGAATTTAAACGAAATTTGATACAAAAGCACTTCGAATAAAGGAAAATCAAACGCCAATTTCAAAATTTGGTTTTGCGCATGCGCAGTGCCAACTTTTTTATTTATGGAAGAATTTAAACGAAATTTATCCATAGGCACTTGGGATAAAAGAAAATCAAACGCCAATTTCAAAATTTGGTTTTGCGCATGCGCAGTGCCAACTTTTTTATTTATGGAAGAATTTAAACGAATTTTGATACATAGGCACTTGGGATAAAGGAAAATCAAACGCCAATTTCAAAATTTGGTTTTGCGCATGCGCAGTGGCAACTTTTTTATTTATGGAAGAATTTAAACGAAATTTGATACATAGGCACTTGGGATAAAGGAAAATCAAACCCCAATTTCAAAATTTGGTTTTGCGCATGCGCAGTGCCAACTTTTTTATTTATGGAAGAATTTAAACGAAATTTGATACATAAGCACTTCGAATAAAGAAAAATCAAACGCCAATTTCAAAATTTGGTTTTGCGCATGCGCAGTGCCAACTTTTTTATTTATGGAAGAATTTAAACGAAATTTTATACATAGGCACTTGGGATAAAGGAAAATCAAACGCCAATTTCAAAATTTGGTTTTGCGCATGCGCAGTGCCAACTTTTTTATTTATGGAAGAATTTAAACGAAATTTGATACAGAA